ATCGATGGAGTGGTCTCAGGAGACTAGGAATGATGTTTTTATGGGTTGCAGAGTGAGAGGTCGAGGAAGGTGTAAGAGGTTTAATATTAGCATCAGAAGGAGACAGAGTTGGGGAGGATAGGTTATGTTTGGTTTATTTTTGTGTACTATTGGAAGCGTGCGGACGGCTGACACTTCCTGGCTGCCCTCTCTGTGGAAGACTAGTTTTTCCTGAGGTACCTGGAAAAAAAAAGATTAGTGTTGACCGCATAGCTCAAGGGACTTTGCTTGAGGCCGGTCACACACTTTTTCTCAATTTTTAGATTTTGGTTTTATGCTTTTGAATCCGACTATGAACCTCCTGTTGCAAACATCAGTATGCGCGAAGATGCAGTTTTTTGGGGAGGGGGGAGGAGGTGCGATCTTATGTAACCCTCCTCCTCACAAGGATGTAGCGTCAGCGTAGCACTGCTGGTCATCCAAGACAAACACTCTGTTGTTGTCGCACTCCCGTACGGCCAACAGTACGACTTCGCCCTCCAACCTCCATCACAGTGTAGCAATTTAAACTACAATGGTAACTGCTTTCTGTTTAACCACTATCCAACAAACCTTTCTGGTATGATAGGACCTCGAGGGATCAAGGGGGCCTACCACCATAGCTTTTTGAGTGATTGTGATTTACAATCCCAACTAAAACGTCATGTTAGCAACTATCGGTCAGGTTCACTCGTGACTTACTGGTTGATAGTTTCCTCCCCAAACCACTTAGCCACAGCTTCACACCTTGTTGAGTATGGGTACTGGGAAGACAAGGGCAATTGAGACCATCACCGAAAGAAAATGGGTCTTGAATAACTTCTGAAGACAGGCGGCTAGGAGATTAGGTGGAAGATAACAGGACTTATCAGGTGGCCTGCAGGTCACTTCAAATGACCAGTACCCAGTCTGAACGTGAATGGGACGTAGATGTGGGTTTCCCAACTCAGACGGAAGTTGAGATTGTTACAACCCCGAAATGAGGCTAAGCAGCAGAAACTGACAGTTTGACCATCACATACTTTTAAAGATGAAGCTGAAAAGAGCACTAAGTAGGGTAACGGAGGTATTTGCAAGTGACCAACGCTCATCATATTTCTTCATCTGAACGTGTCCGACTCTCTGGATCGAGGGACGTTGTGGCGCTGACTGACTGTAAAGGCGTACCGAGCACGTACGTAACGCTGAACAAACCTCTGCATTCGAAACCGAGCAGCCGTGTAAGCTGTCACGTGAACAGAAAACAACCAGGGGTGTCTACCAAAGTACCCGCTGTTACCCTTCCTTTTTAAAATTGTTGTTGATGTATTAATGTGCTTAACCTCAGGTATTTCTGATTTCATAGGGGTTGTCCTACTGCTTATTATTATTATTTGTCCCTCAGATTCCTGGTGGAACACGTCTCCATTTCACTCTGTTCGCAGCAATCTTTTGAACCTGGCTCCATGACAGCCCAGAAGCTCTCACTTCTTCCTCACACCATCTCCTCCATGTCACCCTCGCCTCGGACGCCCAACTCGTCATTTCCCATCTGGGTTCCACTCGAGTGCATGTCACGTGATGTCCCCAAATGGTCTTCTCAGTGTATGCCCAATCCATCTCCACTCTCTTCTGCATATTTGTTGGGCGATAGGTTATTGACTGGTTCGTTGTCCGGCCAGAGTTCCTTCTTGCTTATTCTCATTATTCTGACCATCTGAGCTTCAGTAACTAGCGTAGGCAGTTGTTAATGAATATCTGTAGTTTGTTGGAAAAATACTTTCGTAACGTGACAGGTCTCTGAACCATCACACAGAAGCACTGACTTGACATTGGTGTTGAAAATCCGCATCTTGTTCCACATGCTGAGTGAAGAAGATCTCCGCACTGGTTCCAGGTTAATGAAAGCCTGTCTTGCTTCTCCGATCCTGGCTTAGACGACCTCGTCCGTGCCACCTGTATTTGAAATGATGCTGCCTAGATAGGTGAAAGAGACTATTTCCTTTAGGTTTCTCCCGTTGATGGTGATTGGTGCCTCTTGTTGTTGATGCTATTGTTGGTTGGGTATCTTCATCACTTCCGTCTTCTCTACATTCACTTGAAGTCCCATCTTCGCTGACCTGCCTCTTCAGTCAACTTGTTAGTTTTCGCCTGTAGATCTTTGAGTTTCTGCGACATTAAACATAAGTCATCGGCGAAATCCAAATCTTCTAGGCTCTTCTAGTCATCATTAGGAAATAAAAATAACATAGTAAAGATTACTTTTTCAAAATATCGTTTGCGTCGGCTACTAAAATTGAAGATAGTTTGTAGCAAAACAAACTTTCTCTAATCTACTGAAATAGATTCAATACAACAGAATATGAAAAAACAAACGATATCGTTCTGCTAGGTGAAGACACTGAAAAATGCACTTTTCTGAAGACCTGGAGTTTGTTTGGCATGGGTTTCGCGCCTGTCAAATGTGAGGTGACGCCAATGGACTGGTCTGAAGCTACTTTGAGTTTAGGGATAAGAAGTTCATTGGTAGAGTGCAGTGATCATGCGTTACTTGAGAAGTTGCCTCAATCTGAATAGGTGACTCGCTGACGAAACCTCTGCTCAATCAGGTACAGAAGTTCTTTTTGGAACTTGCCAAATTACGTCATTTGTCAAGGTATACGACTACCTATCAAAGGACAAATATACTGCACTACAATCCTGTTATGTTGCTTTATGACATGCTGATTAAAGTAACAACTACAGGTGACTTAGCAGCAACACCCACGTATGGTAGAATCACCGTGTCAACAACGTCGAGGTTAGGTAAAGAATAACTTGGCAAGGAAGGCGAGTTAGTCGACGAGGTTGTGAAGCTTTGTCGACTGAAGTGGCCTGTGGGTGTATTTGTGTGCCGTGACGTGCATTGCTAATTGAAATAGGATTGAATGGATTAGGAGAAAGCCCAGGGAAACCGAGCTAACTGGCGGCACCAGTTCACCCAAGTCTGTGACTTGGGTCGAGGAGTTTGAAGATGCAGACCGTTAATAAAACATAGCTGATAACCACAGTTGTGCAAACGCATCCATTTTTTACGTTTTCCAAAACTGGAGCAGTTTTACTTATCTTAATTTTGGAAATTCACTCCACTCACCCAGTTCTATTTGCTTTAGTATCACTCTTTCCTCCTCGTTCGTCTAATGTTTGCTGCTATAAACTGTCATACTTTGAACCGATGTACTTCTGTTGGACGTTCTACGTTGATTTTGTCTACTCACGAGAGAGCATTGAATCAATTATTATGCGTCATAGGTCTTTTAGTACAAAGAGGAATAAGCTGTACTTCCTGGCCTGTATGCGGCGTTCAAACTCATCTACTAATCAAGGTGCTCTATGCGAGCTATCGTGGTAATGTGTTTCTCCTACTAGGTGACGAAAATCATTTTAGGAGCCGCAATTTAACATTAATTTAATTATAAGAAGCAATTCAGTAAACGGATAAATTATCCTGAATACATATCGACGTAAACTGCCAAATCAAAAGTCACATAGTATACATCAAATGGACCAGATGACCGTACAGCAAATGCTTGTAACCGTCCCGAAACGACATATGAAACATAGACAATGGGCTTAGTTAGAAATGATGGTTAACAGCTTAAGCAAACATAAAAACGGAAGATTCTCGAGTGAAAAGATAGGCGATTAAAGTGCTTTAAACGCGATGAGATGACAATCAAAAGCCAACTCCTCGCTCAGTTTTGCAATATCTTCGGCATCCATACTACTGCATACCACCCCCAGTGCAATAACTTAGTAGAGCGTACAAACAGAACTATCAAGAGCCTACCTCGCCAGACACTTGGGATGACGCCATACCACAATGTCTCCTGGCTCATTGTTCATCAATTCATTCTTCTACGGGTTTTTCGCCATCACTACTCTTGTTTGGACACGAACTCCACCTTCCCGTCGAACTCCAGAAACCACTGCTACCTTATGAGAGCATTGACCACACGACCTATATCTGCCAACTTCGAACCCGACTGGCAACAGCCTACCAGCTGGCGCGAGCACAACAACAATCAAGCCACCACCAAAACGACGCTTACGATCGCAACGTTCACGGCTCAGTATACTCTGGTGGTGACCGGGTTTGGCTCCATCGTCCCGCCGCTCCAGCTGGTGTATGCCCCAAGTTCTACTCCCTAACACCTTCGTTATACGTCATCTATATCGACCGAACGAAGCAGCCATCACCGTCCATTATAACCAATTGAAGCCATTCCAACCCACCACGCCAAGGCTGTCAACCGACCCGTGTCACCCATCGCCAGCGACCTATCACTACGAAGTACCACCTGAGGGCGGATATGGATACCCGATCCCAGAACCAGGCACTGACGACAGTACCTCCAAAGGAGGGGGGTGATGTAACGAATCCGAAAGCTTATCGATAACACTGATCATGTCTTCTTTCTTTCTCTTTCAGGGTACAACACAGCGAACGAGTTAGGAGAGGTGCAACAGCGAATACGTAAACTTACCATTGACGAGGACGTATAAAAACTTTGTTTGGATCGAGAGTTGTGTGGACCCGCTGAGCTCAAGCTGTGACCCTAATAAAGACGATACTGCGTAATTCCTGTTCTTCTTCGGCCTGCCTGTGTCTGCTGTGAGTCTACAAGTCTTAAGGGTCATTACAGTAAGAATACTACTACATGAGAACTTAAGCACAACCAATTCATTATTGTTATACACACTACATCGTTTCAGTATCTATTAAATTACTAGTTAGTTGAATGCGGCATCAGTGGAGGACGCGGTATGACATTATAACTGATATTGTTTCACCGATAACGGGCACAAACAACCAAGCTGATCTTTATGATTAACACTTCATATAGAACAATAACAAAGGCGTTTCATACAAACAAGTGATCAAATCTGTTTATTTAACAAAGATCAGATTTCAAAAACCAAGAAAATATGTACAGACTCGTATCATCCAGATGACTAACATATCATGCATCGTCTGAAAAATATTATAAAAAATAAAATTAATGTCACGAAAAATATTCAAAGGTGAGTTAGAATGATAACAATGACTGACTTTCAGAAGAAGTATAACATTGTCCGCGTATTATTATTACTACCACTACTCCACATCATGATTTTATTCCCTTCAATTATAGGTGGCGAATAACAAACTCAACCCCGAAATGTCTTTGAAACACTTTATCGAAGTTGTGTTTGGCAGCAGGACTGAAATCCAGGAGACGCATCTTTCTCTGTTTGGTACACATCAGTCGGTAATCCAATGACTGATTCCAGTAACCATCAGTTAAACCAACAGAGTTAACTATCAGGTTAACGACTTACAGTTCACTTTTTATCAACGGAAATCAATTCGGCAAATATTTGCATACTATGAGAAGCACTTTTTGTATAACGGCTCATGGTACAGCTTGGTCGCCCAAGGCCAAAGTAGGAGGAGCGAAAACTGGACCTGGAACCTATTGCTAGAAAGTAGAGTTCATAAGCCAATAAGTTACATTAACCTCTTGTTCAACAGATATCCGTCTCTAAGCCTTCCCAATGTTGATGTACAGAAGTGGAAATAGTCAACATCTGATCACATACAATGTCGATGAATCCATTATAAAGCAACATGCTAAAAGATACTACCCCATTACTTAAGCCTTGTGGATCACCAACTACCCAAAAAGACATAAAGAGTAGAAGAAGGCTCACATAATCTGATGAACATTAAACAAATGTTCTAAACGAACACCGCTATATAGCTACAATCAAAAGTATGTGTTAACAGATGAATAATTATGCATACTAAACTTTCTAGTTCTTACAGAATTATTCAACCATAAAGCACACAGATGAAAATTTAACGGTGGGCAGTTAAATAAAGTGCATTCATCACTCAAAGTTCATGCTTTTGGTGCACTTCATGCTTCACAAGCATTAGTCATTGAGTCTTCTATGACAAACATAAAAGTGACATGTAGTCAGTTAGGTAGCTGTTGTGCGCATTTATCTGAAACACAACATACATTTATGACCTTGTTAAGCTATAGCTATATCTTTAGTTAATAAAACGTGTTGCCTAAGAAATACTTTTTGAAGCCCAGTTACAACACAACAGAAAAGCTGCTTCGTAATTAAAAAAAATTAGGTATAATCCAAATTATGGGGATTGTTGAAAACAGTTTACGAATGTTATTATAAATGAAAGAGAAAGACTGAGAAACTATAAAGAGAGTTGATGAAAAATTCAGATGCAAATGTGGCAGAAAGCCTTACGTGACTACTACCTAGCTGCCCATGCATAGGAAAACTGTTTTTGAAGTACTACATTATGGTCAACATAGTATGGTTGATCCATGTAACCTGAATTCACTACACCAGAATCAGCGGCTGAGACTTCGAAGATGAATTTAACCTCGACATTCACTGGCGTATTGATAAATACCGGTTCTGCAGTAATTATTTTAGCACCTCAGCCGTTTGCAGATTGTTGGAGTCTGCAATTAGGAATTGTCTTGGTCAACAGAGCCAAGTAACGCATCTATGCCAAAATATGTAGATAATGTTAAACACTTCGGTGTGTATCAGCTCTTCAGTAGTGTGAATACCTAGTGATGAGCTTACTATCAGAAGTGAAATCCTAACATAGCCTTCCGTAAACAAAGGGTTCCAAAAATCATATTAAACTGTGGGCAAATAACTTATGGAAATGAGCTAAATTTGGTATATTCACCTACCATAATCGAACACGATGTGCTTCTTAGTGCTGATTATATAGATTTTCCTGTTGGCTGTCCCTCTGACCTTTCTGTCGTTTATTATTTTCCTTATTGGTTGATAGATTGGGTCTATGTCTATACATCTGTTGGTAAACTCAGACCCAATTAGAAAAATAATAAACGACAGAAAGGTCAGAGGCTGTCATGACAAGCTGCTAAATCACTCACGGAGAGATTGACAGCTCACTTCATACTGAAGTTAGTGCTGATGATGTCGGCTAGAAAGATGATGTAAGCTTCACGATTAAGCAACCCAGCTCAGAGAACACATTATAACCACATATAAAATACATCTCATCATCAGAAACAGGCAAATAACGATAAAAAGTGCAGTATTAGGAAATATGTGCCTTGAAAGCACTATTCATTGTATTCGATAATAATCAGAAGATTTAAGGAAAATATATATGACATGTTAAAGCCAACTATTCTTCAAAACGATAAGTATCATATTGCATTTTACTGGGAATCCAAGTTAGGAACAGTTAATATATTGTCTTAAACGAAGATATCAATTCTCTTTTTAACCGTATAGCTTCTCGCCTTGATTATTCATCTTTAGTGTTTTCAAAACGTACAACACCTTGGAACGGTGCATCATCCTGTTGTTTTGGTACGAACGAACGAAATCCACTCAGCAACCTTGTGTACATTCGTGCGGTGGGTAATGAGCCACACATAGCGTATGTTGGTCAATGATACTATCTGGCTGCCAAACATTTGGAAGTGAAGCGCTGTTCGGACCTGTGACCCATCCATTCATCATCAAGATCAACATAGGACCAGGCATTACTTCGTGACGCTCCGAGTTGCCACATCTCATATCAGTACATCAAGTAAAAAGGCAGTGAGGGGCAAGATGAAGAAAAGAAAATTCAGTCAAAAGAAATATAAAGTACTAAAATAGAGAAAGGAAGAATGAGAAAATGGTGAGATTCGGTATAGCATCGTTAAGATGAGGATAATGTGTGCATACATATGCGCCACTGACATCAGTTCTCAGCCAAATCATCTAGTCTCCAAAACTAGTTCCTCTTGTCCCGCGGACCTCAACCGGCTGGTCCACAATGGCACACATGGCTCAAACCAACAGTCAAAGACTTCATACACTCCACAACTTTCAAACATCTATAACATGAGCTGACTCATTCGTACTGCAAACCTCGCCTCGTCCACTAGTTTCCAGCCAGCCTTAAGCCCGGATGAAGAGGGAAGGTTGGGCAAAGGGCTAGCAACCCTACCCCGTAAAACCAATTCAATCGCTAAACAAACTTCAAAGCCCCCAGAAATATATATAATAAAAATGACCTCATTTCACGCTGGAATCTGGAAGACAAATCGATACATGCTGATGAAAGCCTTCAGAAAGCCAATTCGCCGATGAGTCTTCCCTCACTCGACGAAAGCGAAAGTAAGCAACAGGATATGGAATATCAACACAGTGTGTGAAGCTAACAAGCCGGCCAACATTCCAAAAGAGATGAGAAGCTATGTCATAAAAGTGCTACGCATATGCCAAAGCAGATGGAACGGAAGTGGACCCTCTAAACTCTTAACTCGAGAGTCAATAGTATACTCCGATATTGTCACCAAGACCACAAGCACACTGAGTTTAAGGGTGGCTATAATGATGCCCCCAAAAAACAATCGAAGTTACTCATGCAATGGAACCAAACTCCTCCTCCAAGAACATGACAGCAAGATTCAAATCGAAAGGAAGGAAAGTCACAATCGTACAGTGCTACGCACCTACAAATGATGCGAATAAAAAGGAGGAAGACTACACAAAACTACAATCAATAATAGACAAACCCCATCGCAGATGACAATATCATAATTCTGACGCGTGAAATGCATGCCCAAATAAGAGCGGACAACACGGGAAAAGAAGCAATCATGGGTCGACAAGAACTCGCTGAAATGAAGAAGAATGAGGAACCGTTGGAAAATTCCGCGCCTATAATCACTTAGGAATTGTAGGCAGTGCGTACAAAAAAAACATACTCATAAGACAGCGAAATGGATTTCCCCAGACACCAGGACACACTAAATATCAGATCGACTTCATTTCAATGTGAAGAAAGTGGAGACGTAGCCTACTGGACACAAGATCAGATCAAGAAGAGAGAAGAGCAGATGCAGGTTCACGCCACTCACTATCAAGTGCAAGGAACCTACCTTCAAAATCAAGTTGAAAGCATTCAAAAAGGTTGGTGATAGACCACAGTCCAAGTTCAACATCCAGAAACTATCTGAAGGACGAAACTACAAAGGACATCTTCACGTCGGTCAGTCATCAGAACAAAATGGGAGACATTAAGCAACATTCCTGAGGAAATCTGCATGGAAGAACACTGGAACTCTTTGAAAGAGATATGGGAGGAAACCTGCATAACCGTGTTGGGAAGGAAGAAGAAGCAAGACAGGACAGGACAGGACAAGGAATAGATCTCGACGGATCTCTACATGGAAGCTGATAGAAGAGAGGAGAGGAGAGGAGAGAAAGATGGTGAGGCAGAAGATGAACCAGTGCAGTGCAGTGCAGTGCAGTGCAGTGCAGTGCAGTGCAGTGCAGTGCAGTGCAGAGATGAACAACGAAAAGAGGTACTGAATACAACCTATAAAACACTACACTGGACAAAGAAGTGAAGAAGAAGATTGCGCGCAAAGACAAAAGACACTTCTACGACACACTTGCAAGTGAAGCAGAACAGGCTGCAGGTAGGAGAGACAAAGACCTGACAACACTATATCAAATAACCACGTTACTATCTGGGAAGGAAGAGATCAACACAGATGAAACCAACAAAAGATAGTGAAGGAAACTTAGTTACCACTAAAAAGGAGAAACAAAGGAAACGATGGGCTGACCACTTCAAAAAACTCTTGAACCGACCACCACAACCACTAGCACCACCTGCAACTCGTCCAGAAATACTACCAGCAGCCCAACCACAGAACTATCAGTGAACACAAACCCTCCGAAAAATGCAGAAGTCCTGAACGCCATAAAGTTACTGAAAGGCAGAAAAGTAGCAGGACCAGATGGAATTCCGCCAGAAGCACTGAAAACAGATGCAGAGACATCAGCGGACAGGTTCACACCACCACTGCAGAAGGTTTGGAGAGAAGGAAAGGTACATTCCGCTGGGATGAGAAAGGACTACCTTGTCAAACTCTAAAAGAAGGGCGATCTAAATCTTTGCAAGAACTGGTGCGGAATCATGCTCCTGTCTACCCCAAGCAAAATATTAAGCAGCATCATCCTGGAGAGACTAAATTTTGATGCTCTGAATTCAGAAATACGACCGAAACGGCATCGACCAAGAAGTAATCTGGCAGCTGCTTGAACACTACGGAGTACCACGAACCTTTATCAGCCTCATTCGACAGCTATATAACGACACCACATGCCGAGTGATTCACAATGGAAAGCTCAGTGACGCCTTTGAAGTGAAGACAGGAGTAAGACAAGGCTGCTGCCTACTATCACTGATGATCTTCCTGATTGTAGTAGACTGGATTATGCAGCAAACTGTGAGGAGTGAGAAGAGGGGCATACGCTGTTTGACCGTTGAAAAGACCCCAGGAGAAGATTTGGATTTCGCCGCCGATGATGATTTATATCTGATATCTTGTCGCACAAACTGGGAGATGTACAGGCGAAAACTAACAAAATGGCAGAAGAGGCAGGGCAGCGAAGACGGGAATTCAAGTGAAAGCAGAGAAGATGGAGCTAATGAAGATACCCAACCAAGAACAACAATCGCCATCAACACGAGGATCCTAAAGGAAGTAGTCTCTTTCACCTACCCAGGCAGCATCGTTTCAACTACGGGCGACGGCACAGATGAGGACGTCAAACCAAGACCAAGACCGGCCTTCAATAACCTGAAATCCACGTGGAGATCTACTTACTGCACTGCACTCCACTCCACTCACTCAGCATAAAGCGTGAACAAGATCCGGATTTTCAACACTAATGACAGTCAAGTCGGTGTTTCTATATGGTTGAGAGACTTGGTGCGTTACGGAAAGCATTTCCAACAAACTACACACAGTTGCCTATGCTCGATACTGAAGATCAGATGGTCAGAAAGAACAAGCAAGAAGGAACTCTGGCCGGACAACGAACCAGTCAATAACCTATCGCCCAACAAATATGCAGAAGGAAGTGGAGATGGATTGGACTGGGTATACACTGAGAAGACCATTTGGGGGCATCACGTGACAGGCACTCGAGTGGAACCCAGATGGGAAATGACGAGTTGGGCGTCCGAGGCGAGGGTGACATGGAGGAGATGGTGTGAGGAAGATGTGAGAGCTTCTGGGCTGTCATGGAGCCGGGTTCAAAAGACTGCAGAGAAGAGAGTGAAATGGTGACGTGCTACTGAAGTTCTATGTTCCACCAGGAATCTAAGGGAAAATAATAATAATTCCTACTGCATGCATTCAATGAAAAAGATCTAGTTATCGATATCTGCCTCTATTGTGTAACGTTAGTTGTTAGGATTGTCACTATGTCCCGACCTATTGCGTGATTGTATGTGCTCGCATTCATTGTAACTGCTGACTTTTACACTAGACTTCCTATCTTACTACCATTATATATTTGGTCAAGTTATTGTACTCTGTTATCCTCTAGATCATGAACATTTAATTTCATCATTAATGACTTATGTTCTTGATAATGCTAATATCGCTTTACCTGTAACTACCGGGAGACTTTAAAGGTCACTGTTCCAACTACTGAATTGACCAATCAGATTCCGTTATTTCAAGCAGAAAAGTACTTTCTCATAAAATAGACAAATGCAGTTGGTTGTCTCAGCAGTTGCTAGGATGTCTTTTAAAGTCACTCCGATTACCTATTTCCCTATCAATATTAAGAACTGTAACATGAATGGATACACTTTTATGCCAGGTCCACTGTTGTTCTAACTGGTAGTTTTATACAGAGCACTTCACCTATCACGTTACTCGCTAGTCCAATGAACTGCTATTGTACAAAATATTTCATGAGGAAATATTACTGTGAAAATTTAAATAATCAATTACGTGGTTCCGAAACAATTGGTTCTGTAGTATCACCAGAAATATCCATACTCTCGTGTTTCAACTTCCTCGATTTCCGCTTTTTATCTAAACGTATAATGAAGGGAATGTAAAACATGGTTTTCAGTATCACTAATGCTGACTACAGAAAACGACTTTCGAAAATTAAATGACAATAAATCACCACGTGTTTATTGACCTGATCTGATGTAACACAGCAATTACATAGAGGTTCATGCACTATGCAATAAGCCACAAATTACGTAATAGCTAGGCATGCAGTAGAGAAAAATACTTTGTGGGGCAAATGGGATTGTTTATCAAGAAAACTAAAATGTTACATCCTGGTACGCAAATGATGTCTGGATTCTGCTTTTCAGGCAAGTTGTTCTTTAGTTTCTATCACTTTTCCACCTGCCGTCTGCATTTCCTTCAGATATTTATTTTTCCTTCTTACAGGAGTAATGAGCAACCGTTTGGATGCTAACTCTTATCACGATTATTTTGTTGCCTTTATTATCGCGTCGTTGGTTGCACCGAATTGATCGGTCTGTATTAGCACATGGGCTCGTTCGTGGACCCCTCGATCCTGCCTATGTTTTAATTTTATTTTAACAATGGATAGAGGAATCCAGGTAGCGCAGTTAACGGAGACCGGTTAATTTGGTTCGATCAGCGACGGGATAATATAAGCAAAAACATAAAATCTATACACGACGAACAATAAGTGACTGTCGTGACTCGGTGGCCTATAGGATAAAGCTCGCGTTTGAAGCGATCGGTCACAGGTCCGAGTTTTAGTGGAACAACATCGCCCACTGAGAGGCAGGTACATCAAGCTAATGGGTCCTAAATAGGATGGAACGCGTCTCGTGAATTCCACTGCTAGCCACTATCCATCACTAATCTTATTAATTTTCCCGGTGATATGATATGCCTATGCGCATTCGTAGAAGTAGAACGCAATAAAATGCTACCTGGTTTTTCGAGCACTCATAAGTGCAGCGGCATTGGAATTCACAACCGGTACAACGTAGCCACCTAAACAAATGAACCACAGCTCCTACGATCCTATCATTGGAAATCTACCTGACATTCAACAGTCCGCTGCAACGTATTTGAGTAAACAGTAACAAGGTGCCTTCAACAGGTGCTGGAATTTAAAGCATTTTTCCCCACACAAAGAACATAAAAAATATGCACCTATCAATTTAACTTGTAGCTTTTTCTTAGGGGTGGTACGAAATGACAACACTATTCGAAAACTGCTGTTCAGTTTAATACACCTTGCACTTTGAGGTCACAACAACAATGATCTGTCCCCGCTTTCTGTAGTTAACACATTCAAGTGGCATTTGATGATACAGTTCTAACAGAAACATCTACTACGAACTCTCTATATCCTTTTGCCCTAGTTTACCTCCTGTGGTAGCTAAGTGATTTATTTCTGCCAAGCAGCAGTCTAGAGCTGATAATCAACAATTGTGTTTGTTTGGCAAAATAATTTACAGTTAAAAACACATGAATCTAATGGAAAACTTACCGGTAGCTGGTTTGAGTTCACTTTTTTCAGTTTTTACACCCTTTTTATCTGAGCAAAAAAGACAATAAATATATGTAATATCATCAAACTTCTAAAAAATTGACACGATGTACAGCTATCAAGCATGCTCTTCAAAAAAAAATGAGTAAGTCATGAACGCAGTAAAAAAAAAAAAGAATTTATATTATATCCCATTTGAATGTAACCAACGGGTAATTGTCATCAGTAGCCTTGAAAGCACCAGCTTGGGGAAATGGTTAACTTAAACGACAGTATGTACACAATCGTTTGGAAATATTCAGTTATTCCACATTAATAATGAAAATGATAGGCAAAAACATCTAAACTCAGAACCAAACAATGAAAGAAGAAGCGTTGATGACATGCTGTGATAAAACACGACTGACTATTTAAGAGATACACCAAGGTAATGTGTTGGCTATAGGCATTCAGACAACAAAAAATCTAAAACAGGACCTAGTACTACTGCGTAATGGTTTAACTTGCTACACCTCATAATATCAGCATACCAGGCGAGATTGTATCAAGACGAAGAAATGAACAAAAAATCAGATGAAAAGAGAGGAATATGGAAATGCTGAAACCAGTAAGACGACTAAGATGAATATAAGGTGGGAAAACAAGTGAAGTGAGGTCGACTCAAAGTGATATCGCATAGCAGTAAAACTGGGACACTGTGGTAGATTGTAATTGCATTTAAGTCTGTTTATTAGGAATGTCAGACGGTAAAATAGTCTCATTTACTGCGAAAAATTTATTGTCCATATTCAAATCAGGTCCAAACGCTATCCCGTAACTGATACTCTTTCACAGTCAAAGTCATATCATCTGAAGTCTTCAGCTATCTGCTGTATTATTTTTTTCCCTAGCAAAAAGATGATGCAGGTAAACCATTGTAACGTCTCAGAACAGGTGGTTAGAACATTTAACTAAAAAATTTGAAGCACATTTTAACTGGTCAACAGAAAAAGTCCCGTTAACAAGCAGCTAACCTGAACAAAACGGGAAGTAGCTGTCAGTGCTCCAACTTTTCTCACAGTTGAGAGGGCCTAACTATAGATCATGAACAGCAAACTCGAGAACACGCAGGTTTGAAACCAGAGCTAGGGTGCATCGATGACATCTTTACCCCAGGCACAATTCACAGACGACCAAACCTCGCCATATTTATTGGTATGAAAACGGCATTTGACTGGGTCCACCGCAAGCCATTGTGGCCGTGTTCGACTGAAAAAACGTAATCGGCAAGTACACAATGCTAATCAGGGTCCTTTACTGGAACACACACAGCAACGTAAAAGATTGTGGATAACTATGATCATAATTCGCGGAAACGAATAGTGTCCACCACGTATGCCCCCCGTCGTCGTCCTTCTTTAATGGTGTTATGAATGTATCAATGTACGTAACCTTACCCCAGATACCCCGACTTCACAAGGATTGGTCTACTTCCTGTAGGACGTCTGACTGACTTGAAGTACACAGATAGCGTTGTCTTTTTAGACGAAGACGCGGAAAAAGTGCAGGAGCCCCTGAACACATTAACCAGAAATCTGAATGCGTTTCGCACCTGTCAAGTGTAAGATGATGCCTAAGAAATGGTCTGAATTGATTCCTAGTTTAAGGATAGACTGTAGAGTTGTGAAACATGTTGACTATTTCACTTACTTGGGAAGTTGCATCAGCCCGAACGGGTTGGCTGCCGATAAAATCTCAGTTGGAATAAACAAGACACGTCTTGCACTTACCGGTTAGCGTCACCTCTGGCACCGGCAAGACACGTGACTTCCTATCAAAGAATGAGCATGCTGCGTAGCAGTCGACTTTGTCCTATTGTATCACTGTGAAAGTAGAAGACACTACAGGTTTTCGCCCAGCATCGCTCACGCACGGTAGAATCATCGTGTGAACAATGTCCATGTTAGATGAAGAGTAATAAGCAAGGAAGGCAAGTGAGTTATTCGATGAGGTTGTGAATTTTCAGCGATTGCATTGCCTTGGACATGCGTTGCCAGTTACTTTGTGAATGGCGTGTCTTTAACGTTTTGAAGACCATTTATATAAAAGTAGTCTATGAAAAGCTTGATTTTTCTCGAAAGAAATAATCAAAGAAAAAATTATGTTTTGTGGTTTACGAGACGCTAACTGTTTCGGTAATAGTTCTTGGCATCCTAAATGAAAACTTACTCAACTCATTTATCATATTTCTTGGAAATAAAATTAATATTGAAATCTACCGGTCAGTGTGAGAAGTTTCTATCTAGTCATGTTGTTCAGTAGTACATTTCCATCGATCGAGACAATTTTATGTTGAAGATCACACTTTGTGATCTTGGTTGAGTGGATTTCAACGAAAACCCTGTTGATACCACAGTCAGATAGTTGAGAAACTAATCAGCTATGCAAAATGTCAGTGTGGGCCATGCAGTTAGCAAATCACTTGCAAATTGATCATTTTATTTGGGGTATGTCAGTTCATAAAAGACAGGTAGCTAGTTTCAGTTGATCTGAACAACTCGGGTATTTCAGCTAAAATTTCCATGTATAAACTTCTGGTAAGCACGGTTCCAAACGAGTGAAACGGTTAGCCGGTGTTTCGTTCACTCTAATCTGCAGATCAGCGTAAGTGGTTTCTGATTACTAGTGTATTTCAGCAATATTCATTTCCACAAAAATTAATTACAACTTATTTCAACAAAAACGAACGTGTTTGCTTTCGGTTAAGTACAGTAGGGGAGTTTGAACTACAAATAAACGATGCTTCAGGTAACTGAAAATATATGTAATTCATCGGCTTCAGCACACAACTTTCAAACTATGGGTCCCAGGTTCGAATTCTGCTTCATCTACTTAGGCCTAGAAGAAACCTGATGGTATCATAAGCCTTCTCAGCAAAAGTGCGGCTCATAACCAAGTGCATAAACACAAACTGGCTTGAATTCAATGATACCAGATTATCACGCACTTGTCTGCTTTGCAGAGTCTAGAAAGTCTATGATGACCAACTCCACAAGATAATTACTTCGGATCCCTACATTCTGGAACAGGTATTTAGTAGGTTTCTGTTTGAATAAATGAATAAATACTATGAGGGAAATTCAACTTCAATATTCTGCATAAATAATATATCATTAAAAGAATAAGATCTCAATTGTCTACTTTGAAATACCAACCCTACAAGCATAATACAAAGATGAAAAAATCTATCAGTCAAAACACACACAAACAGCACAGTCTACAAACTTTTTACTGAGCTAAAATAATACTCATAAATTAAAACCTGACTTACACAATCCAGTAAACACATGCAAAAAATTAAGGAGTAGTGAAAAAAGTAGCGAATGACTTACGCCAAAATTTTATCTTAAAATGATTTCCACTAATTCCCTTTTTCCTTATTTTCGTCATACTTAACTGGTTCGGTTTAGTATTCTTGAAACTAATAAACACATTTCTAAAAAGAAATAAGATGAAAGAACAGAAAATGTATTGCCACAGCAAACCAATAGCATACGAAGACCAAACGACTAATATATTGCAAATAAAGTGTAATTTCCTTCAATGAGTTATAAAGAGAAACTAAACGTAGACACCACACGATAGATACATGTAACGTATTTAAAGTTTATCCGTGACACTATATTCTCTCACTTAACTTTGAAGCTTTTGTTATCAAAAAGTGATGTGCGCAGAAAATAACTGCGATAAACACGGTGAGAGGTTGTCGATTTCCGGAGGTGACCTTATTATTAATATTCAATATTTGTTCCTAAGGTTCCCGGTGGAACATAGAACTTCAGTAGCACGTCACCATTTCACTCTCTTCTCTGCAGTCTTTTGAACCCGGCTCCATGACAGCCCAGAAGCTCTCACATCTTCCTCACACCATCTCCTCCATGTCACCCTCGCCTCGGACGCCCAACTCGTCATTTCCCATCTGGGTTCCACTCGAGTGCCTGTCACGTGATGCCCCCAAATGGTCTTCTCAGTGTATACCCAGTCCAATCCATCTCCACTTCCTTCTGCATATTTGTTGGGCGATAGGTTATTGACTGGTTCGTTGTCCGGCCAGAGTTCCTTCTTGCTTGTTCTTTCTGACCATCTGATCTTCAGTATCGAGCATAGGCAACTGTGTGTAGTTTGTTGGAAATGCTTTCCGTAACGCACCAAGTCTCTCAACCATATAGAAACACCGACTTGACTGTCATTAGTGTTGAAAATCCGGATCTTGTTCACGCTTTATGCTGAGTGGAGTGGAGTGGAGTGCAGTGCAGTAAGTAGATCTCCACATGGATTTCAGGTTATTGAAGGCCGGTCTTGGTCTTGGTTTGACGTCCTCATCTGTGCCGTCGCCCGTAGTTGAAACGATGCTGCCTGGGTAGGTGAAAGAGACTACTTCCTTTAGGATCCTCGTGTTGATGGCGATTGTTGTTCTTGGTTGGGTATCTTCATTAGCTCCATCTTCTCTGCTTTCACTTGAATTCCCGTCTTCGCTGCCCTGCCTCTTCTGCCATTTTGTTAGTTTTCGCCTGTACATCTCCCAGTTTGTGCGACAAGATATCAGATATAAATCATCATCGGCGGCGAAATCCAAATCTTCTCCTGGGGTCTTTTCAACGGTCAAACAGCGTATGCCCTCTTCTCACTCCTCACAGTTTGCTGCATAATCCAGTCTACTACAATCAGGAAGATCATCAGTGATAGTAGGCAGCAGCCTTGTCTTACTCCTGTCTTCACTTCAAAGGCGTCACTGAGCTTTCCATTGTGAATCACTCGGCATGTGGTGTCGTTATATAGCTGTCGAATGAGGCTGATAAAGGTTCGTGGTACTCCGTAGTGTTCAAGCAGCTGCCAGATTACTTCTTGGTCGATGCCGTTTCGGTCGTATTTCTGAATTCAGAGCATCAAATTTAGTCTCTCCAGGATGATGCTGCTTAATATTTTGCTTGGGGTAGACAGGAGCATGATTCCGCACCAGTTCTTGCAAAGATTTAGATCGCCCTTCTTTTAGAGTTTGACAAGGTAGTCCTTTCTCATCCCAGCGGAATGTACCTTTCCTTCTCTCCAAACCTTCTGCAGTGGTGGTGTGAACCTGTCCGCTGATGTCTCTGCATCTGTTTTCAGTGCTTCTGGCGGAATTCCATCTGGTCCTGCTACTTTTCTGCCTTTCAGTAACTTTATGGCGTTCAGGACTTCTGCATTTTTCGGAGGGTTTGTGTTCACTGATAGTTCTGTGGTTGGGCTGCTGGTAGTATTTCTGGACGAGTTGCAGGTGGTGCTAGTGGTTGTGGTGGTCGGTTCAAGAGTTTTTTGAAGTGGTCAGCCCATCGTTTCCTTTGTTTCTCCTTTTTAGTGGTAACTAAGTTTCCTTCACTATCTTTTGTTGGTTTCATCTGTGTTGATCTCTTCCTTCCCAGATAGTAACGTGGTTATTTGATATAGTGTTGTCAGGTCTTTGTCTCTCCTACCTGCAGCCTGTTCTGCTTCACTTGCAAGTGTGTCGTAGAAGTGTCTTTTGTCTTTGCGCGCAATCTTCTTCTTCACTTCTTTGTCCAGTGTAGTGTTTTATAGGTTGTATTCAGTACCTCTTTTCGTTGTTCATCTCTGCACTGCACTGCACTGCACTGCACTGCACTGCACTGCACTGCACTGCACTGGTTCATCTTCTGCCTCACCATCTTTCTCTCCTCTCCTCTCCTCTCTTCTATCAGCTTCCATGTAGAGATCCGTCGAGATCTATTCCTTGTCCTGTCCTGTCCTGTCTTGCTTCTTCTTCCTTCCCAACACGGTTATGCAGGTTTCCTCCCATATCTCTTTCAAAGAGTTCCACTGTTCTTCCATGCAGATTTCCTCAGGAATGTTGCTTAATGTCTCCCATTTTGTTCTGATGACTGACCGACGTGAAGATGTCCTTTGTAGTTTCGTCCTTCAGATAGTTTCTGGATGTTGAACTTGGACTGTGGTCTATCACCAACCTTTTTGAATGCTTTCAACTTGATTTGAAGGTAGGTTCCTTGCACTGATAGTGAGTGGCGTGAACCTGCATCTGCTCTTCTCTCTTCTTGATCTGATCTTGTGTCCAGTAGGCTACGTCTCCACTTTCTTCACATTGAAATGAAGTCGATCTGATTTTTCGTGTGTGTTGGTGTCTGTGGAAATCCATGTCGAGGTAACGTTAGTGTTGACAAAATATTGTGATTTCACAATGAGCTTGCCAGAAGCCAAGTATGACTGGGGATGAAATGATCATGGTCATCATCTTAAAATACTAACATATGGACCAGTTTCATAGGCTCCGTCGGGGAAATCCTACTCGCTACCTTCGCATTGTAGGGCTTTTCTGAGATAATGAAAGGGTGGACGCGATTTTACAGCATTATGGGTGGTTCGATGGATGCGGAGGTTACATCTAAAGGAGTTGGAAACTCCTGATTCCGAACCAGCGGTGCATACGATCCCTATCATCCATGACGGAGGAGTGGTGTGTGAGCCTACCTTAGCCACCGGCAATCATGGGAACGCAATACCTCACGCTGGCTTGTGTTCAAGATTTCAAGTTACAGAGTTGAGGAGTGGTCCCTCAGAGCAATCACATCTGCTTTGATCTGGGAGTCCGGGAGAATCATAGCCCACGCACAATTTGTGGATGAAAAGTAGAAATGAAGACTATTAAACACTCATCAAATATTCCAGCAAGAAATAAAATTTTGCGCATTAATTCCATTTTTACTTACAAATTCGTTATTCTTATATCTCAACTGTACGGTCTTTCTGTTACCACTTTCAAATTTATTTGCCTTAATATATATCTCTGTTACATTTATTTGCCTGTTACTGGTTAGAACTGTGCTCTATCTGTATCGTTCTAAATCGCCAAAAACTTCCTTCTAAAAAGATATCTTTCAGTATCATATCTGATACAATTATCCTTCAACCACACGTACTCCTCTTAAGCAGGCCACCTTCAATGTTGGTGTAGACTGGAAAACGGACAGGTTTGGCTATCGTGGTCGATAGCTACTACCCTGAAGTGATAGTCGGACATGCGTATTACAATGACCAACAAGCTATTCTAGTGGGAGCCTCTGTTCTATTGAGGGCCCAACTTACACGAAAGGTCTGTTAGGTAGTGGTAAGACTAAAAGCAGTTACCGCTGGTTTGCTACATCCTTCAACAGAAGTAAGCAGTTTCACGCAGATGACCAGTAGTACCATGCCTACCACAAAGAAAGGGAAGGGGTAGGGATTCCCAATTCCAAAAATATTAAACTCCTACTACCCAGCGGTATACTAGCGTCGGTGGTATGAGTTTTCCAGAAGGATGTAAACTAACCAAAGGTAAAACCCCAACTTACAGAAGACAGTGTGTGACAAGTTCCAAGTGAACACCTCGTAGGTTCTGCAGTCACACCACTATTTCGATTTCAGGTACGTGAAGAAATAATCTTTTGCTGTATGGGGAGCCAAGGAATGTCAACTGAGCTCACAACTCTGACAGCATTCAGATTTTCTCACACCACTATCAACCCTTGGTTTCTTTGCCTTTCTATCTTTCTTCACGTCTATCTGTTAATAATATTACATCATCTTTGATTGCTCCTGACTCTGCAACTCTCGACAACGGTTCACGTTTGTGTGACAGCATCATTCATCTCCTGAAACTCAGATCCAAACTACATAATTAAACTTTCAGTGTCCGAAACGTCTGCCAAATCAAAGAAGCTTCGCTAACCGAAAGTCTGGCATCTCCAGCCAAAGATATGTGCTGTGTTTGCTAGAGACGAACATGATTTAAGTGTGACTATTCACGTAATCTAACCAAGCCAATATGGTAAATTTGCAAAACTCAATATTCGCTTTCCTCAAGATTCATTGGCTAGTTTTCCTCATCTTTCAGGTGTAGGTTGGCAGTCACCCAATAACAGCAGTTTCGATTAGTTCTATCGAAAAGTGTCTAACCTCCAAATGAAAATCAAACCTTTAGATGCGGCTGCCGTAGCAGGTGATTTCAACAGACAGACAAGTGCATCTGTCCAAGCAGGCAAACTCCACAATAGCATACAAAGAATAAGTGGACAGAAAAAGACTGGTATGAAAGTAGACAAGAGCGTATGGGAGGAGAAAAATTTGAAAATGGAATTTGACAAAAACGCTCAAACTTCAGGTGTCGAGTGGTGAATATATCTCCACCACCATGACAGCTTTCCCGCCATGCAACCGTTGATTCCTATGGCCTCAGGGACCTCAATCACCTCCCTACCTGGCTGAGGTCAACCATCAGAGACTTTATGGACGCTTACCACGTCTCCGTCTGAGATAAACAACACACGTCCAAGGCAGTGCAATCGCTGAAAATTCACAACCTCATCGAATAACTCACTTGCCTTCCTTGCTTATTACTCTTCATCTAACATGGACATTGTTCACACGATGATTCTACCGTGCGTGAGCGATGCTGGGCGAAAACCTGTAGTGTCTTCTACTTTCACAGTGATACAATAGGACAAAGTCGACTGCTACGCAGCATGCTCATTCTTTGATAGGAAGTCACATGTCTTGCCGGTGCCAGAGGTGACGCTAACCGGTAAGTGCAAGACGTGTCTTGTTTATTCCAACTGAGATTTTATCGGCAGCCAACCCGTTCGGGCTGATGCAACTTCCCAAGTAAGTGAAATAGTCAACATGTTTCACAACTCTACAGTCTATCCTTAAACTAGGAATCAATTCAGACCATTTCTTAGGCATCATCTTACACTTGACAGGTGCGAAACGCATTCAGATTTCTGGTTAATGTGTTCAGGGGCTCCTGCACTTTTTCCGCGTCTTCGTCTAAAAAGACAACGCTATCTGTGTACTTCAAGTCAGTCAGACGTCCTACAGGAAGTAGACCAATCCTTGTGAAGTCGGGGGTATCTGAGGTAAGTGGACATCCCTAGTGAAGGTTACTGGTTTCCGTCAATTCAGACGAGAACTCCCCATATGTCAAATAAAGAAATCGACTAAGGAACTACATTCTATCAGTGTTTAAGTTTGACATATACTAATGCTTTCTGAAACAGCCGTGAAAAGTTTCTTTAAAACCAGACAAAGTTAAAACCCATGTTTTGTTTTTTTGAGAAACCACACGAGTCGATTACGCTAACGTACATTATGAAGAAGGAATCGAAAAACAACAGTTTGCAACGAAGGTCGAACTCTGTTGTCAGGACACCGTGTCATTTAGCTATTATTAATACCTAAGAAAAGGAAGCCCGAAATTCCAGACAAATTTCCTCAATACTTATAGAATTAGATAAAATCACACTGTGCATGCATCCAAAAACATAATGAGCAGCCGATGTTAATGAAAGATTCTGACTCTACCAAAACGATTAGCTCAGTTGGCAATCAATCGGCACCTATAGTAAGAATTTAGTCTAAAAATTAGCTTTGTATAATCATTAAGTGAACGTTGGCAGGTATTTACTTAAGTTTTGCAAAATCCTAAAAACGTTTGTCATATTGTAGATGCAAACAGAACATTTTATAACCACATAGTTGTGAATATTTGCAACATTTGTAGTAAGTTGTGAATGAGGTGGCTATTAGAATTTTTCTCCTATGAGGCAAGTCAGAGGCATGGAAAGCTGTTCAGATTTCTCTGCTAGTTGAGTGGGGATGATTCAAGTCTTTATGCACTGTTTGTGTGAAGTTAACAACTAGTGTGTAGAAAAAAACCAAAAGGGCTGTGACCGAACTATGACTAATCCGTTCTTGAAGTACTTACATTGGCAGTATTTCTATCAAGATAATCTGTTGTTTTAGGTTGATATGCTTGTTTATCTGTCTTTCGAATTTCCCCTTTGTGTTGAACATACTGACCTAGTGAATTATTGTAATAACGATGTTACGCCCAGATGAGCTGCTAATTCGCATTGTGTGATTAATGTAGTCTTGACAAGGTTCAAGCGTTTGTCGATATCGAGTTACTAACTTGAATTCCACTACATAGAATATTGTCACTCACGCATATGTACATCAGTACACTAAGACGTGACATGCTGACGCATAAACAGTATTGATATATTACTAACCTTAATGATGGATCAGCACAAGGTACCGAACAATACTCAACCATTGAACCAGGCAGAAATTGTTTACGAATTTCATCATCACCTATTGTCGTAGGAACTCGGCATAGTTTTAGGTTGACAGTAGTTAGGCTTTCTTTATTTTCGATAGGATTAGACTTTAAAGTAAAATGAAGACCGATTAGTGCACGCACACGGCGGCCACCGATCTCCTTATTCTGACATGCATCCAAAACAACCTGAAGATCATCCTTGCATTCAAATTCTATTAAGCACGATCTAAAAAATAGAAAGAAGGAACGAAAAAATATTATTGAGAAACTTTATAAGTATGCTGAGAGACTGAGAATCTTGCGCCACAATTTATCAAGACTACATAATATGTTCGCCGGACATAAAAAATTACACCAAAACACAAAATTAGAATGCAAAAAATGCATTGTTCACATAGTGTTCAAAAAAGGATTCATACAACCGAAAATATCACGACTGAGTACTGTATCTTACGACTATTTATATTATAATCACCTTCTGGCTTTCTTATATTTTATTGATTTAACTTTCGATGTGTCATTCAGAGATGTTACAACTTGGTCCAATACTCAACTGTAACAGGATTTTGTCTATTTCGGCAAAAGACTTGAAGAGGAGGAAAATGTTATGGTGTTGTGGGCTGGTATGAATATTTGCTATTCAGAACATGACACAATGAACACATGGACAAAAGACCTTAAAATGACTGAAAATTTCTGGGGTTTTGTCAGATAAGTGATCAGGTATGAAACATTGACCTACCATTGCAAAATAACCTATATGAATCCTGGTTCAGATTTGACCGTATATTTTTGAAAATATTGGATGCTGTGTGAAAAGTTGACACTATATATAAGTTAGATCTGTATAAATTTCAGCGTGTTTGAAATAAATAACCCCAACGTTCCACGTAAAAGTTTGGTCCGAGTTTTCGAAATTTTTGTTTTATTACTCTGAAGAAGCTCGGAATAAAATTCCGTGCGAAACGTGGAAATTATTTATTTCAAACATACTGAGGATCATACAAAAGCAACTTATGTTCACCTACTACGTTACTTTTTTCAAATGCCTTAGTTAAGTTAGTGTTTCCCTCTGAGTAATAAAAAAGTATTTCCACCAAATGTTTTACGGTGAGACAGCTTTGAAGGAACTATAGACTGATAGTAACACTTTGTAACCTAGTTATTATTAATGAATCACTACTTAATTCTCATAATAAGTGGAGGTTTACCGCCCAATGTTTTGACTTACACAAGCTAGTTCGGGTAGACCTCATAGGATACGCTGACGTTTGACAAAGATGTGACAAGATACAGGTAATACTCCAGTTCCACAAGACTGGATACTGTATCATAACAAAAGTATCATTAACATGCTGGCATGGCAGCTTTCCAACCACTTTCTCAATGAAAAATGCAGTCAGCATTTTCTGTCTTGAAGTAAACACTTGCATATTTTGGCGTCTTCTGTTATTTCGACGGTGAAGCTCATTGGTTTGAGAGTTTGGGACGCCAAAAAAAAGCAAAACTGCAGAAGATAAAAACCAATACTAGCCTGTACGTGCACGATTCGAAAAGATCATCACTTTGCACAAGCTGGTCTCCACTACTGCGTATCTTGGTCGAAGACATAATAATTACAACACTACACCCCCAAATTTCCTAGAGTTTACAAACGAATGCATTATTCGAGTTGCCCGAGTTCTAATTAGTAAGAACATAAATGTAGAATAACAAGAAACATTCCTTATTCCGAGTTTCCACAGAACCGTCCAACTCAACATTACATAGATATGAATTCTGATTTTAAACATGTGGTAGTGTTTCTCTTATTGTTGGCATTATCCTAAATCAAATCTGTCAATACGGAAATCAGATGTTAAAGTTTCGTAATATTTTGCACTGTCTTTGTCTGTTAGAGATGAATTCAATTAAAAATAAAGGTATACAAATGTTGATCCAGTACATCAATCTCCAACCAATTTAACATGCATGACCGAATCCGTTGTAATTAAAAACTGACTTGATCAATGCAAAGAAAATGACATCAGTGGTACATAAACAGAATGAAATTTAATGGAGAACACTACATACCCTTTATTGGTACCGTCCTTTTTGGTATTTATTATAATTGATTTTGCTGTAGGAAACTCATCTTCTAACTCAGCTGTAGTAATGGAATATGGTAAATTCTGAATTGTCAGCCTCAAATCATCACTTTTAGATGTATTTTCTGACTTTTTATAGCGAACAACTTGCTTAAAAGATGGCTAAAGATACGAATATAAATTTTTTAAAAATTACAATAGTTTATAAGTGAATTTATCTAACAGTTTTAGCATCTGCTCATCTTTTTAGTGCAATACAAAATTACTATAATCTCCAACCATAGCTAACCACTCTAAACTACCTTACTGGATTATTTCAGAATGCCAAGACAAAAATGCACGTTTATGAAATAAAGCTAAGAAGTCAAGAACAGAACAGGCAAATGCTAACAATTTCATTAATTTCTCATCACTCAATCTTTAAGGAAATAACAATTAATTATAACATTTATAGTAACATTAAAATAACTTTCTAAATGTCAATCAGTCAAAATCAACATGGGACCTGGCATTACTGCATAACGTTGCCATAAATCATATTAACACATCAAGTGAGAATGCAAAAAAAGTAAAATATGAAGAAAGGGAACAAGGAATACAGCAATAATGAAACTTGGTATGTGGACTAGAGAGATGTCTGGATGTATCTGTGAAGCTGAGATCAACACTGGGCCATATCACCTACAGTATCTAACCATTGATTTCCGTTATCACGCGGACCCCAACAGAGGTCTACATCCCCCTTATACAGCTCAAACTACCAGTCAAGCATTTCATGCACTGAGACCATGTTTTAGTCTGGCCATCTTTAACAATTTTTCAATCTAAACCTATTTTAAACAACGGGGCAGGCGGTGAATAGGCATGAATAACACATGCTTCAGCCACCGGGGCTGATGAACGTTTACAACCACACCAACTGACTGCCCTTTCCTCTATAAAACTCTGCGTTACTGAAGTGGTAATATCAAGACACATGGCAACGATGGTCAACTATCTGAAGCCCTCTCATGTTCTCTACCTATAATGACCATATTTCACAGCCATATAGTAGAACAGAGGGAACTGAAATGTAATACATTCAACCCTCAATAAACACCCAGATATTATAGCGATTATACAAGTGGCGTAAGTTAGCGAAAGCCAAGAGAGCCTTTTGTATCTGTGGAAAGAGTTCATCGGTCACTAATACATAATAGTTAGTCCGAATTCCCACATAAGTTAAGTAGTTGATACGCTCAACCATTTCACTCTCGATTATTAGAAAGCAGACCAATACTTGAGACAATTAGCATTTGGGTGGTCAGAGACGCATCCCAAACATTTTCGAATTGTTGCTCATTGTGTTCAGATGACTTTACATGTCGTCAGTGTCCAACAAGACCATTTCATCTGAGCATACTTGCTCAACTAAGGATTCTCCCGCGGTAAGATCAATCGTCGTAGTCAGACGACGAAAGGGAAACCTCCCGATTGGGTGCATGATAAAGTTGAATAAAAATGGCGAGAGTGGGCATTCATAACGGACACACCTCGATGCACAAAACTCACCTATTATCTACGGACTAACACCCTCACAGGTGTTTGAGTGTAGAGCCTTCACCAAAATGATGTACTTAACCAGACCCCCTTTTAGTGAGAGGTACTGCTATAAGACCTCTCGAACGACGGAGTCCGACACCGCCTTTAGGTCAAAAAATACACACAGTGTCAGGTGCCAGTAAGTGTATGAGTTTCAGAACCTGGTAGGTAGTGAACATATGGTCGATAAACCTATGACTGGGCCTGAAATCTTCCTAGTTTTCGCAGGTCTGCTGTTCGCAAGCTATCCTTGAACTTATAGAACCTAGCATCTTAGTAACATGCGATATTCTGCTGAAGCTGTGGTATACACAGCGAAACGTTCAGAAAAACCTCGTTTTCGATTTTCTAAACACGCTGGGGTTAAACTAAAACTTTCCTATATAATATGCTGATTTGTTTGTTACATATTTCACACAAGGAAACAGCATTATTTACTGGGTGACGCTTCGAACACGGTTTATTTCCCATAATCACATGAAAAATAATGCTACAGTGGGTGAAATATGCAACAAACAAATTAAAATGGTATAGTACACTGCAGCAGGGCCCAAGTTTTATGCTTACACCAGGATCCTAGACATCATTTTCTTTAAACTGATACCCTGTAGTAATCACAGCAGGATTTTATGTTTTTTTGAATAGTTGGACAGTCAATGAATCAGGTCAGTTACAGACCATATCTACTTCCCGTACATTAGCTAACACTTCAGTTAACCTGACTAGTAATCCTCTACCATTATCCTTGATTGACTCTCATGCTAGACCATCTCGTTCTGCTAACCTCAGTGGCTTCAGATCACTTACAGCCTTCTCAATTTACGCAAGCTATATACAGCTTATATCAGTGTTCCATTCAAGATCTGACAAGATAGTCCATGACGGAATAGCGGCTGGTAACCAGTTGAACTGTTCCTCAAAGTGTTCCGCTAATTTTTCCAGCTGTCTCCTCTGCAAGAGAATCACAAACCCATGCTACTGCTCTACAGTCTCACTGAACATTGACCTTTTGCCCTGACTTCCTTGAAAAATGTAAATAACTGTTTACTGTTACCTACCACAGCTGTCTTTCTCATCTCCTAAGCCTAGATTACTCATTGATCAACGTTTAGATTGCTTTTGCTCCTCACCATGATTTGAGTCTATATGATTGTACCCACATGCACCCCCTAATTTAGCTGTTGAGATTAACTGACCCTTCATAACTTCTTTTTGAGTCATATAACGTCTTCAACACGGCGTTTACAGCGAACTGAGGGTGGCCACAAGCTTCTTCAGGATGGGTGAAACTGCTGTTCCAACAACTGTCTCGCCAGTTCTGCTTCGAAAGTAGCCTTATTCTACTGATTAACGACCTGCGCTCGGAATTGTGTGGCAGCTATAGTTTTTTACTTCCATTTAAGTTCAGAAATATGCATGCTCAAGCCAACGCGTGATCGCTGTGCAGAGACGTGCTCCAGGTGTACAATTTTTATAAGCTCTACAGCAAAAACTGATAGCGATATGATTCGTGTCTAACGTTGAGGCCAGTGGCTACCACCTCAGACAAGTCCGTTTTGACCAGAAATGGATGGTTGCCTGAATAAGATTGTGGCAGGCGATCGCTGTTATCTGTTTCTTTTTGTCTAGCATTCCGAAGTTGGCAACTGAGTGCCTTTCTAAATGCCATAGCCTTCCCTTCGAAAATACATGGTTTTTTAAAACTACCTTCAAATTTTTTACAAGCGGCACTAGACGAAATTGAAGCTATTGTACGTACTTTTTGAGCTACTTTGTCTTACACTACATGAATAAAACACAAATGATTTCAAGAATGGTGTTTGATTGAATCTATACATGACGATACGCTAGGAGAGGTTTAACAGATTAATTTTCTCGGAGCGCTTTCGATTCACGCCCAAGGCAAATCAAGTTATGAAAGTGTATTTAGTCACTAGTCTATAGAAACTTCGAAAACTGAGTCACCCATCTACAACTTGATAAGAAAATTGCTGTCTGTTTATCCCGAATTCGGTAAAACCAACTTACTTTTATACCATCAAAGTTGAGTTCTTCCAACGGTTGACAGCATCTGTGTATTCTTCCATAGTAGTGAAATTGGCAAACGCTTGACGCTTCGCTGACTTTTTATACAATTTAATTCGTCTGGCTGATGGAATAGAATCCCTAAGCATTGCATAGTTTATAGTTTTCGGTAGATTAGTTATCATTAAGGAGATTCTGGCTTGATCCTTACCACCGTGCTGATCTATAAGCGCAGAAATATTAAATTTGAAACAATATACTGACAAATCTCAATACCTAAAAATTACAGTGCAGAAGATAAATAATCACCTGTGAATATAGATGCTCATGAAGTTTAGTTTGCGTTCAAGGTAAGTCGGTTAGAACTAACTTAAAGAACAATGGATACTTTACAAAGTGGGAATCAGACCAATATAAGAGCATTCAGAGCCTTTTAAGCCAGTCCCCACACCTATAAAACGCATAGAAAAGGATTTACGAAATGCAAATAAACGACATGTGTCACGCATAACACCACTTTCGAAAGTGGTGTGATCACATTGATATGATTATGAGTAATAATTTACGCTCGAAACGTCATCAAGTAAATAATAAATCACTGTGTGTTATAAATCAAATAAATCTAATATGGAAGTTTCCTGTATTTCCTTTCATTATTCAAAACCAGAAGTTTATTTGCTGGGTTGCTTAACGACTGAAAGTAAGTCTTTAGTGTCAAAGTGAGATTATGAGACGCCAACAAAATGATGCGTTGAAGCCCAAAACTCCAAAATACAACTAACTAGGACTGCAGTATGCGATTCCGATGCGGCATCACAAATAAGAATATAGCTGAAATGATAAGATAACCCTGTGGCGTTTCTGTCGAATATATTGAAGAGCAAAATAAATGATAACCTCGCCTGGTTAACTAGTTCACTACTTACTACCCGTCCTAAGCCCGGGTAAAGAGGGAAGGTTGGGTATAGGGCTAGCAACCCTACCCCGGAAAATCAATCCAACCGCTAAAGAAACTAAAAAGCACAGACAAAATATAAAACATAAAAACAAACTTATTCCTTGCTGGAATCGGAGAGACGAAATGACGCCAGTTGGTGAAGCCTTCAGGAAGCCAATTGGCCGATATGTCTTCGCTTCTCTTGATAAAAGCAAAAGTAAACATAGGGACATGGAATGTCCGCAACATGTATGAATCTAGCAAGGCTGCCCAGATTGCCAAAGAGATGATGAGGTATGGCATGGAAGTGCTTGGAATCTGCGAAAGCAGATCGAATGGAAGTGGACTCTACAAACTGTCAACTGCAGAGTCAATAATCTACTCCGATATTGTCACCCAAACGACAATCACGGGCACACTGAGCTATAGAGTGGCTATCATGATGTCCCCAAGAGCAGTAAAGGCTCTCAGGCAATGGGAACCAATCTCCTCCTGCAGGATCATGACAGCAAGATTCAAATCAAAAGGAAGGGAAGTCACAATCATACAATCCTACGCTATGCTATGCACCTACAAATAATGCAGATGAAGAGAAGGAGGAATTCTACAGACAACTACAATCAACACTGGACAAGACTTCAGTTGGCGACATCAAAATTCTAATCAGTGACATGAATGCGAAACTGGAGCAGACAACACAGGAAGAGAAGCAATCATGGGTCGAGAAGCACTCGGTGAAATGAAACAGAATGGAGACCTGTTTGCAGAATTCTGTGCATTCAACAATGCGGTGATTGGAGGCACTGTGTTCAAGGACAAGGATATCCACAAAGCGACATGAATTTCTCCACACACCAGGACACACAAAAAATCAGATCGACTTCATTTCAATGTGAAGAAAGTGGAGACGTAGCCTACTGGACACAAGATCAGATCAAGAAGAGAGAAGAGCAGATGCAGGTTCACGCCACTCACTATCAAGTGCAAGGAACCTACCTTCAAAATCAAGTTGAAAGCATTCAAAAAGGTTGGTGATAGACCACAGTCCAAGTTCAACATCCAGAAACTATCTGAAGGACGAAACTACAAAGGACATCTTCACGTCGGTCAGTCATCAGAACAAAATGGGAGACATTAAGCAACATTCCTGAGGAAACCTGCATGGAAGAACAGTGGAACTCTTTGAAAGAGATATGGGAGGAAACCTGCATAACCGTGTTGGGAAGGAAGAAGAAGCAAGACAGGACAGGACAGGACAGGACAGGACAGGACAGGACAGGACAGGACAGGACAGGACAAGGAATAGATCTCGACGGATCTCTACATGGAAGCTGATAGAAGAGAGGAGAGGAGAGGAGAGAAAGATGGTGAGGCAGAAGATGAACCAGTGCAGTGCAGTGCAGTGCAGTGCAGTGCAGAGATGAACAACGAAAAGAGGTACTGAATACAACCTATAAAACACTACACTGGACAAAGAAGTGAAGAAGAAGATTGCGCGCAAAGACAAAAGACACTTCTACGACACACTTGCAAGTGAAGCAGAACAGGCTGCAGGTAGGAGAGACAAAGACCTGACAACACTATATCAAATAACCACGTTACTATCTGGGAAGGAAGAGATCAACACAGATGAAACCAACAAAAGATAGTGAAGGAAACTTAGTTACCACTAAAAAGGAGAAACAAAGGAAACGATGGGCTGACCACTTCAAAAAACTCTTGAACCGACCACCACAACCACTAGCACCACCTGCAACTCGTCCAGAAATACTACCAGCAGCCCAACCACAGAACTATCAGTGAACACAAACCCTCCGAAAAACGCAGAAGTCCTGAACGCCATAAAGTTACTGAAAGGCAGAAAAGTAGCAGGACCAGATGGAATTCCGCCAGAAGCACTGAAAACAGATGCAGAGACATCAGCGGACAGGCTCATACCACCACTGCAGAAGGTTTGGAGAGAAGGGAAGGTACATTCCGCTGGGATGAGAAAGGACTACCTTGTCAAACTCTCAAAGAATCAGATCGACTTCATTTCAATCTCAAGGAAGTGGAGACGCAGCCTACTTGACAAGATCGAAAAGGGGAGCAGGTGTAGGTTCAGATTACTATCTAGTGCAAAACTAGGAACCTTCGAAAGCAAGTTGAAAGCCTTCAAAAAGTTGATGACAGACCACAGCTCAAGTTCAACATCCAGAAACTATCTGAAGGACGAAACTACAAAGGACATCTTCACACCAACCATCAAGACAAAATGTGAGATATCGAGCAACATCCCTGAAGGATCGGGCATGGAAGAACACTGGAACTCTTTGAAAGAGATATGGGAGGAAACCTGCATAACCGTGTTGGGAAGAAAGAAGAAGCAAGACAGGACAAAGAATGGATTTCAACGGATCTCTACATGGAAGCTGATAGAGAAGAGGAGGACGGTTTAGCAGAAGATAAACCAGTGCAAGGATGAACAACGAGAAGAGGAACTGAATACAACCTATAAAACACTACACTGGACAAAGAAGTGAAGAAGAGTGCGCGCAAAGACAAAAGACACTTCTACGAAACCCTGGCAAGTGAAGCAGAACAGGCTGCAGGTAGGAGAGACCTGACAACATTGTATCTGGGAAGAGATCAACACAGATGAAACCAATAAAAGATGATGAAGGAAATCCAATTACCAAAGAAGAGAATTGATGGGCTGACCACTTCAAAAAGCTCTTGAATCGACCACCACCTGCAACTCATCCAGAAATACCACCAGTAGCCCAGCCATAGAACTACCAGTGAACACAAGCCCTTCGATGAAAGTCGAAGTCGTGAACTACATAAAGCTACTGAAATGCGGGAAAGCAGCAGGACCGGATGGAATCCCATCACAAGCACTGAGAACAGACGCAGGCACATTAGCAGCCGAATTGCTCACACCACTATTGCAGACGGTTTGGAAGGAAGGAAGGAAAGGTACCTGTCTGTCGACTGGAAGAAGAGCTACCTTGTCAAACTCCCAAGGAACTGGGACCTAAGTCTTTGCAAGAACTGGTGCGGAATCATGCTCCTGTTTACTCCAAGCAAAATATTAAGCCGCATCATCCTGCAGAGACTAAAACATGCGCTGGACTCAAAATAACGACCGGAACAGGCTGGTTGGATTCAGGAAGACCAAATTACGTGTGGATCAAATTGCAAAGCTTCGCATCATCGTAGAACAGACCATGGAATGGCAGTCAACTTTCTACTTCAACTTCATCGACTTTGAAAAAGCCTTCGACAGCGTCGACCGAGAAGTGATTTGTCATTCGCTTCAACACTACGGAATACCGCAAACCTTTATCAGCCTCATTCAACAACTATATGAAGACGCCACATGCCGGCCAAGTAATTCACAATGGGAAGCTCAGTGATGCCTTTGAAGTAAAGACAGGAGTAAAACAAGGCCGTCTATCACCCATGATATTCCTGATTGTGGTGGACTGGATCATGCAACAAACTGTGAGGAACGAAAAGAGGGAGATACGCTGGACCGCGGAAAAGAGCCTAGAAGATTTGGATTTCGCCGATGACTTATGTTTAATGTCGCACAAACTTCAAGATCTTCAGGCGAAATTCAATAAGTTAACAGAAGAGGCAGGGCAGCGAAGACGGGACTTCAAGTGAATATAGAGAACGACAAGCTCCAATCACCATCAAAGGGAGAAACCTAAAGGAAGTAGTCTTTTTCATCTATCTAGGCAGCACCGTTTCAACTACAGGCGGCACGGACGAGGACGTCCAAGCCAGGATCGGAAAAGCAAGACAGGCCTTCATTAGCCTGAAACCAGTGTGGATATCTACTGCACTCAGCATGTGGAACAAGATGCGGATTTTCAACACCAATGTTAAGTCAGTGCTTCGATGTGAGGGTCCAGAGACCTGGCGCGTTACGAAAGGCATTTCCAACAAACTACAGATATTCATCAACAACTGCCTACGCTAGTTACTGAAGCTCAGATGGCCAGAATAATGAGAATAAGCAAGAAGGAACTCTGGCTGGACAAAGAACCAGTCAATAACCTATCGCCCAACAAATATGCAGAAGAAAGTGGAGATGGATTGGACTGGGCATACACTGAGAAGACCATTTGGGACATCACGTGACAGGCACTCGAGTGGAACCCAGATGGGAAATGACGAGTTGGGCGTCCGAGGCGAGGTGACATGGAGGAGATGGTGTGAAGAAGATGTGAGAGCTTCTGGGCTGTCATGAAGCCAGGTTCAAAAGATTGCAGCGAACAGAGTGAAATGGCGACGTGCTACTGAAGCCCCATGTTCCACTAGGAACCCAAGGGATAAATAATAATAATAAAATAAACAATGAAGAATAACAAGGCTAATAGTCAGTAATCTCAACCTTAAGTTGGAGCTCGCTCCTTTGATACGCGCATCAACTATAAGAGTGAACACTTTATACAAAAAAGCAAACCAACGAATGGAAACAAATAATCATGAGACGTGATGAATATAAAAAAGAAGTAAAGCTAAAGCACTGACGGTTCACAAAAAGGTAAGGAAAATGTCAACTCAAGAAAGTGTGGGTAGTTGAGGTTAATTGCATAAACAGGTTAGTGGAGTTGGACACGATACAATTTGAGTATGCAGAAGTAGCTGTGGCTTATTGGTCTAAGCATCCCTCTCGACCAGTTGGTTACGGGCTCAAACTCTACTCTACCTACCGAGGTCTAGGCAACTAGGTAGCACCAACAGCCATATTAGATTTGTTTATTTGATGTATAGCATACAGCGACATAGTATTATTCACTTGATGACGTTCCTAGCATAAATTACTACTCATAATCATACCCTCAAAATCTTATTTTGATAGCCCTGTCAACTAATATTCTTTATTTTTTATGGGCAGTAAATTTTCCATATCTCCGGTATATGTGTTGCGTCATTTCTATTACGCGTTGGGTGTAGACACGATGAACAAGGATTGGGTCTCTCTCCACCTAGTTATACTGGACTTAAGTATGGTGTTGTTATCCTATCCTATTGTGTGGGTGTTAGTCCGTGCGGTCCAATAGCCGAGTTTTGTTGTACATTACTTATTTTGTGGGGTCTGTCATTTTATATTTAGATAAATACCTGTTCCACTAATCTAACTGATCCCAAACGGCTAGTTTGACCCATTTAATTGACCTCATGGTCGTTGTATGGAATTTGATGGATTAGATAATGTTTAATTGGATTTATCGAATCCTTAAGCAGACAAAGCTGATCTGGGAGTGTTTAAAACGTCATCAAATAAATAATACTGTATCACTGCGCGTTATATATCAAATAAACGAATCTGATATGGAATTACATCCTACCAATGCCCAAGTTCAACACATACAAATGAAGCATCAATAGCTCTTATACAATAGGTGTGGGATGTTACCTACTGTAAGAATGTGCATGGAGTTGCTGAGTGCATTTTGATTCAGTTCGAAATTAGGAAAATGCTTTATTTCAAGTCACTAAACTTGACTATGATGACCAAATGTAGATATCGCTAAACACAACACGACAACTGGTTTTGCTCTTTGGCCTAGCTCAACTCCGAAAAGACTAGTAGTTTGAATATATAGTGACTCGTTCATCCAAAAATATACTCTCACTACTAACTAAAACCCACTCTGAATGCAGGAAGAGCTTCAGTTGCCTCAAAAAGAATGGCGTAGGAATCCTTTGCTAATGGGTTTAATTCAGTCTAATATTTAAACGACTTGCAGAGTAGTGCTTAGTCTCCTCCCCCCTCCTAGTTTTAGGTCGGTTTCAAAACGTAGTATCCTTACAGTATGTGAAGGATACTTGGTGATCAGATATGTTTCCTAACGCGACAAAAAACATTTCAGTCACAATAGCAGACCCCATACACCTGACTCGGACAGTAATCAAAAAACTTCAATAACTTGACGGTAAAAAGTTAGTGACACATGCAAAGTAGAATCCTAAATAAAAATGAATTGGCTGATGGAAACATATAGTACAACCTTACTGGTTACTTCAAAAACATGAAGTCCTACAAATTAGCAGTCACATAATTCGTACCTTTATCATGCTGGACAGAATCATGGTTCTTTGAGGAATTTTTTGATGAGATTTCAAACTTTTTGTGAGCTTTTTTCGTCGACGTTCTGTGTTTAGATTTTTGGATTTGGTTTCTGACTTTAAATCAAGTGAAGGGGAATTATGCTGATCCTTTTTAGTCTCAGTCACTGTTTCAAGATAACCATTTCTTCGTTTCATCTTTTTCGTATGCTCATCATGTTTTTTACTTCATCCCCGGTTGTTGTGCTTTCATGACCACTAATCATTTTTGCACGGTTGTGAAGGTTGCGACATTTTTTTAACTTCGATGTATCAACTTTCACTGTGGGTTTCATTTCCATTCAAGATACCTACGATAAATTTTAAAAGCAAGATAAAAATTTGCCCATACGGTTAGTTTAACAGCTAAATATGTCGATCCTATAATTCTCTTCGCAGTAAGATGCACTAAATAATGCAATGATTCAATGCTCGAAGCCACAACTAAACAAAAGTTACACAAATAGTCAAAAATGGATGTCAAGGAAATATCAGAATCAAGCATACGGCTGATCAGATTGCAATATGCAGCCAAGAGGATAATTCGTCATCTCATGAACTAATAACCCAGCAGGTAAACACCTTTACGAGCAATATTCTGCACAAAAAAATTGTGCCCTTAGATGTGGACAAGCATCTACATCACCCAAGCGTTTTTCACAGAATTTCCAAAATCAGCTTTCTAAAAATCCTGAAATTTCTAAACAGCATGCGGGGAGTTTACAATTCTTGAAGGAATCGAAGTACACTGAAAAAAATCTGAGCGTGGTTACCTTCGGCTCACCGGTGCGGGAACAGATACTAAGTTATCCGCGGCAGCATCGATTTTCACGGACCGGAGAGCTTAATAATGAACAAAGTTAAGGGATGTGTCCAAAAGTTATGAAGTGCACCGAAAGTAATCCCGAGAAGTACCCAGAAAAACTCAAAGTTTGCTCATAACGCTTCCAGGCTGGGAACTTCTGTTCCAGGTTATCGTGCAGTCAAAACGGTTTCATTTTACAGCGAATTAACGTCCTAACCAAGTAAATAATACTCTAAACACTCAAGTGGTTCAAATCAAACTTGAAGACATTCACAAACATTCTGTTAATGCAATAAGTTAACCCAGCGTACTGACTAACAAGTGTAAAACATTTACGAACAAAATATGCTCAGCTTTTGGAACTCAAATTCTGCTTTATCAAGTGTCTACACACACCTGGTTTGTAGTCCTGTAGTAACCAACGCCAATACCACGCGAAGCACCCCAGTAAAGTATCGTAACAATCGAAATAACGCCTTACGTTTTTCTTTTAAAACGGTTCAAAATAAGTTTAAATGGTTGTTGCTGGAATATAAGAAGTTTTCGTTGAACCGCTTCCAAGTTTAGAACCACTGAGTTAAAGCCTTCAGTATTTTTTAACTCCTGAGTAATAAATAGGAAGAAAAGTGACAGTTAGAAAAGTAAAACGACTTAGTTTTGAGTGTGTTGGCACTCATATCTCCATAGTGTTTTACGTTGTCACACAACGGATTCAGACGAACTGATCTGGACTTATTCTGCAGGAAGAGCGTTTTAGAGTGTAACAGCTGCTAGGGAGCAGAAGCTGTACTTGATGTCCAGCCTGCTACATTCTAGACTGTTTCTGTGTTTTTCCATTGAGACTAGTGTTACTGTTAGTATCTAGAAGGTGAAGGAGCATGAGTCCGAATGTTTTTCAGATCACGTGAGCCACTATCAAGCCCCGTCCCAGTTTTCCATATCCCATGTCCCAGAGGGACCGGTCGCTCTTCATGTGTTCAAAACCTGAGTTATGGATTACCTAACCGACTACCTTTGAATGCGTTCAAGGCTTATTCTGTCTTCTGTGGAGGGGAAGAGAAAACTGTGATTCCATAGGAATCCACCAAACATTTGAAGACAAAAGTTCCCATAAGTAATTCACGCCAACTTTTCATGGAGTGAATTTCTGTCAAGGTTGGACTGGGAAGTTGCGTCTTTAGGAACAAAACTGCCCACTTCCTTCCCCTTGTAAGACCTTTACAATGCTATGCCGCTGAATCTACGTGAAATTTCGGCATTAAAGAACATCTAGGTTTAGAAGAAAGAAACAAACAGTGTAGACATCTAAATAATAGTTGAGTAATCCTTTGCGGCGCCGACGGCTTTCGCAAGTTCGAAAAATTCGTTTCAATATGTGGGCATCTCCTCACTGACTTCCACCATTTTCGCCGCTTTTTTTCCTGATCGGCAGCTACCAGCCCAGCCACAGGCATGCAGATGATTAAAGTTACAAACATTTCTGCTGGCTCTACACAGCTGGAATCAAACCACTTCTTGAGCGACGGATGGTTGACTTTCGTCCCTAGGGAAGTTGCATTTGTTTGGCCGATGAGCGTTGGAAGCTGACTTTACTTGGGCATGACGGCAGGCAACTGTAGGACGACTGCGTTAGTAAATGTATTCGCATGCCTACCTGTTGTCTACGTACAGTCTTCTGACTTTCAATGTTCTTTCGATGAGTTTCAAGGATGCTACCATCCCTTGGAGACTTATCAAAGTTTACTTTCATGGAAGCTTATCCTGTTTTGCTTCATCCTGAATTTAATGCCATAATTCGCTGCTAGTGGGCACTTTGTCTGCATCCCAAGGGACTTCACTAAGGTATGCATGCGATTTCGCTTATTTTACTAGAACGAGCCCAGTTGAAACATGAAACAAGGAGAAAGACAACTGCAGTGAAGAAATAATTTTCCTCTTTACGAAACCACTCGATGAGTTGGATATTCGTGTGTACGTTATCCTAAAGCCAGAAAATCCATGGTAAATTAAGGTCAAAGGTTGAAGCAGGTTGCATGACGAAGTGAAGCAACGTAATATGCAGGTAGTTTAAGTAAGAAGATAACACATCAGGGGGTGAAAAACTATCAGCGCATTCTTCCAGAGCACGGGAAATATACACAGATATCATTTTTGGTGAAATGAAGAACTCACGAGAAGACTTGACGGGAAATGAATAACCACCGAAGTTAAAGGGTAAAAGTTTGAAGCCACGAAACATCACGAAACGCTAGCATGCTGCTACGAAAACGAATCCAAGGGTACAGTGTAACAGATGTTTTTAAGAAGCTACCACCGATCTTAGAACCGTAGTCTCCCATCAGAAATCCAGTCAGAATCACTCAAAGAATTATCTTGGGCTTTGAGCCGCACTGGAGTACGCACATCTGTCTATCTGCTCCTGTGGAGACGAGTATATCGACCATGCAATATGCCAGCTTGTGAAAAGCCCTCAAGAAGACTATAAAACCTGGCTAACATAGGGGAAGGAAAGAGCACATTTTGCTTCGTCAGAGAGAATTTGACTCCTTTTGGTAGGTCTTCCGAAGTTTTGTAAAGAGTCACTCGAAAGAAGTGCAGTTAAGGAGTCCGGGAAAAGCGGCAGCATTTGCAGTCCCAAAGTTCGAACCATCATCGAGCTTTCAAAAGGATTGCATTCAGGCCTTCTCTTTGTCACGATTATCAAAAAACTTGATCGCACTAGACAACTCCTTCTTGATATAACTACGCTTTTACATTGTGACCACTTTTTTGTTGTAAGTGACTAGCAAATCTCCTGTGCCACGTAGTTTTTTTGCTCTGAACAGAATTTAAGCTGGAATATTCTGCATTAACCATCATATGTTCATTGCAATTCACGGAGTTATGCCGCGAACATTGTCTTCACTGAAACATTTACATGCCGTAGTCTCGAAGCTTTTGGATGAATTATGGATAAACCACCCGTTAGAATTCGAAATATCTTGACCATTATAATAATCATGATAGTAGTAATATTATAATAATACATGTACGTTTCTTCCAACGAAAAAAACCGCTTTGCAGGTATGGTCACTTTAGTTATATGAACTCATCATTACGCACAATGACATGCAATTAGTTGACATCGTTGTTTGAGGCACATAAGATTCAGGTGCTTATTCAGATTTGTTGCTGAAGGATAGGAGGCTGGGGGTCTATATTAATCTTTTTCCAGCAGACTTCTATGCTTGTCCAACCCCCTTTTGAACTAATCAATTGATGATGCGGACACCATTTCTTCTGGGAGTCGGTTCCAGTCACTGATCACTCGACACGAGAGCCAGCACCCTGCGGAAACTATGTTCTTTCTTTGCTTTCGTAGTCTCCTACTATGTCCCCTGAGGTGTTCCGACCCAGAGGGAAGCAAAGGAAGGGATAAATCAAATTCAAAGACATTTCTTAGAATCCTGGTAGCATGATTAAGTTTCCCCTCTGTCTGCAATAGGACAAAGTGAAGAGGTTCAGCCCCTTAAGTCGGTCCTCATAGGTCAGGCAAACCATCACAGGGATCATAAGAGTGGCTGCCCTTTCTGACAGGGATTAGTCACCCGTGCACAGTTTTCTAATTAAGACCTAACCAGGGATGTGTGTGAGATGGTGAACTTGCCACCACTTATTTTCGTAAACGTTCTACGGAAGGCTCAGAGGCCTAAAACTCGGAGCTGCTACCAATAGTCAGTGAGCGGCGGTTTTCAAGTCATAACCCGCGGTGGCTCCTAGGTCATTATGGGCCAGTACTGATGGTAAAGAAGTCCCGTTAATATCGTAGGTGTTACTGTGTGCGTGTGCCCCAAGTGCATGCTCACACATTTACATGCATTAACGTGGATCAGCCGCTTCTCTGACGGGTAAAAAAGCTGTTCACGTCCTCCTGAATCGCACGTATGTCCTCATCGTTCCTAATTTCCCGCCAGATTTTTACATCATCGGCGTGGAGAACCAGAGGGGATTTAGTGATGTTAGGCAGCTCATTTATGTATGAGAGAAACAGCAGGGGGCCCGGGACTGTGCCTTGCGGCACTCCACTCTCTACCAACTTTTAGGTGGAAAGTTGGGAATTGATCCTAAATCTTTGTCTCCTACCAACAAGAGAGTCTCTTATCCATGTGAGCAAAATGTTAGTGATTCCAAAGCTTCCCAGTTTCCCGAGCAACCTGGAATGAGGTATTTTGTCGAACGCCTTAATGAAGTCAGTGAAAATGATATCTACAGGTATCCTGTCACCTGCAGACTTAACCCAACCTTTTCTGGCTGTAAGGACGTTCGTCAAGGGAGAGAAATTTCTGCGAAAACCGTGCTGTGAACGAGACACTAG